GTGATGGGGATGATTGCGATGATGACGGCAAGTGCGGCGATGGACGACGACGATGACGGCGGCGATGCGATGGCGCTGAAGACAATGACGAAGAAGTGCTCGCGCAACGAGATCCAATAAACTTGGCAGACTTCCTGTTAGAATCATATGTTTTGTTTTCACACGTGCCGACGAGCACCTGCATCTCCAAAATGAGTCGGAAACCGCCGTCGGAAACCGCTGGGTTTGGACGGGTTTCGACGAGCGCGCGTGGCGGCGCGCGCATGTGCACGGCAGCGTACGATTCGGCACGGGTTTGTGCATTGGGCGCATGTCAGATCAACGCGGATGTACCGCGTCGTGAGATGAGGATGAGGGTTCTGGTCGCACTTGCCAGATTCAGATGGTCTCCGAATGATAGCGGCGAGTGCGCGCAGGCAGAGGAAATACAACATTACGCTTGAAATACACTTGGAGTCAAAATCATGTTTTGCTAAAACACTTGCAGAATGGTTTTGACATGTGCGCTCGAGTGGACGCTGCGGTCTTTGTTGCAAAGGGCTAGTGGCAAAATGAGATGCTGGCATACACGAGTGCGCGCACAATGTTGGTTAACAGGGATGGCGGGGGTGGTTATACCAGCCTGACTAGAGTGCTCCGAATTCATGTGGGAAAATGAATGATGAGGCAAATTCATGTGTAAATTCCAATACCCCATGGGGCCCCGAACCCCAGGCTCGAGGTGGTAGAGATTGTCTTTTCCCCCAAACAGTTTAGGGGTCTTATTTGTCTTACCCGGTAAGTCAACGGGTCTGGCGAGGGTTTTCCGCGTCGCTGCCCGGGACGCCTCGTGCACGGCGGGCCTTGCGGGGTTTCGCCGCGTGGCCGCCCGTTGCCATCTCACGGCCGCCTCGTGCAATAATTCACTGCTTGGGGCCCACGCTGGCGAACATTCTCTGGAAAGGAGAATCTCAGGAGGGGGAAAAAAAAAACACACAGACACAATTAATCCTCCATTCCCAGGAAAATATGGGAAAATATGGGAAGTGGGGGGGAAGACAGAAACCCAGAAAATATAGGAAAATATGGGGGATCATTTTATTTGTGTGTATTTATTTGTGTGTCCTGGGGCCCCTTGAGAGTCATTGTGTTGCAGGCGGTGTAGCGACGACGGGCGGCCGCTGGGCGAAAACCCCAGCCAGCTCACGAGGCGGCCACGGGCGGCCGCCAGGCGAAAGTGTGGGACCGCCGCTCACGCACGAGGCGGCGACGAGGCGGCCAGAGGACGAACATTTGGAACTGCATGCCAACGGTTTACCCCTTAGGCGATGCTTAAGAAAACTTAAATGTTCGGCCAGAGTCTCGATTATTCTTAATGTTTCAATGTAAATCCTAAGATTTGAATGGAAATTTTGTGTTTTTATTCAAGTTCTGAGACTATGAATTTCTTAACCCATGATTTCTTAAGCATTTCGCAGGGTGTACCCATCAAGGGGAGTCAGAACCCCCCTGGGTACAAGTGTATTGTTTGGGGAGCATCGCGTGGACAGAGCTTACCCTGGTCAGGGTTGGCCAGAGGGGTTTCGCCAGGGCCTCCATTTGTTTAACCAAGGTGGCCTCTGGGCGGGCGAGGGAGGCCCGCGCCGGGCCTGCCCTGCACTTGCGCCTCGTCCTCGCGAGTCCAAAATGCCAATCGGGGTCCCCGTGGTATGTCCAGCGGTTTTTTGCCGAGTGAGCGCAGGCAGTGTCCTCCTCCTCCTCCTCCTCCTCCTCCTCCTCCTCCTCCTCCTCCTCCTCCTCCTCCTCCTCCTCCTCCTCCTCCTCCTCCTCCTCCTCCTCCTCCTCCTGGGGCCACTGTCTCGACCTGCCCGTCCTGGCGACGCCGAACTCCAGTCGCTCTGGTCTATCCCCTCCTCTGCCCTGAAAAAACTGCCCGGAACGGCTCCCTGCTGCCCGCCTGTGACCTCGCCAGTGCCTTGCCCCTAGTCAGAGCCCCGAGTCATCAGGGGTAACTCGGGTCAGGGATAACTCGGGTTCGTTTTTCGGGAATCCGAACCCGACTTACCCCGGACCCGAGTTACCCCGGATAGTTCGGGCGTCCAGAGCCCCGAATCATCAGGGGTAACTCGGGTCAGGGCTAACTCGGGTTCCCTTTTCGGGAATCCAAACCCGAGTTACCCCGGATAACTCGGGCGCCCAACCTAGCCTCAGCCCCAGTTTGGGAGCACTGGGAGGCCCAGGGCGTTCGAGCGATGTTCTCGAAGAGAGCAAAACACTACATGGGCCGTCAGGCAGAGATGTTCGGAGGTCCGCGCGAAGTTCTTGGGTCGGCGCTGCCCTCCGAAAGTATATGTTTATGCAGTTTGTTGGTCTTCTATCCTTCGAGGTCAACCCAGGTCCAACAGCCAGTTGCCCGCCCTGCATCACCTCTGGCTCGCCCGATCGGTGCAGTAACTGGACTGCGTGTGTACTTCGGCTCCTCCCATCCTTGGCTGGGCCTCAAAGGGGATGGGAGGCAGCCTTCAAGATGGCAGGGGGGCTTCTCAGAAGGGACCAGAGGTTTCCAAGAGGGCTTCTCAGAGAGCAGAATGGCTTCAGAGAAGGCCCCTGCCTTTCTTGGAAGGCCGCCCCCATCGCCCCACCCACCTGCGAGCGCCCCCAATCCTCTACTCCGACGTCGCAGGTATTTTGTGATGTGGGCACCTCGACACCTTCCCGGGGCTGGATCTTCATCCTGAGTCGGTGTTTTGAGGTTCTTGGGGCCCGAAGCGGCCCCCAAGTGCCGAAAACGTAGACAAAAGCATCGAATCACGCTGTTTTTGCTACGCTTGGGTCCGAGGGAGCTCCCTCCCAGCCATTGCGGCTCGGCAGTTCCGCGCACCGCCGCGCGGGCCCGCGGGTGTGCCCAGCGGCGATGAGCGCGGGATTCACCGCGGCGGGCTTCGGCCGCGGCAAGCCGTCCGAGGCCGGACTGGACGAGGACGCCGGGCGGGGCCCAGGGCCGCACACGGGCGGCCCCATGGAGGCAGTCCCAGCTGACCCCGGCGGGCATTCGGAAGCGACGACGGGGGCGGGTCGCCCGAGGAGGCGGGCGTTACGCGTGTTCGCCCCCCGAGCCGAGCACATGGGCGATCGGAACCCGTGGATGCCCAGGCAAGGCCAAGGGGGCCCCCACAGCCCGCCAGCACCTCACAGAACGCTCCAGGTCGTCCAACATCTCCTCGGCCCTCGACCCTCGGACTCGGCCCTCACGAGGAGCTCGCGACCCCCTCAGTGGTGATCCCCCCTTGGCACTGCCTGAGATACATGTTGGGCCCGCCCCTGGCGGCGCGCCAAAGGTCAGGAGGGGAAAAAACACACAGACACAATTAATCGTCGATCCCCAGAAAATATGGGAAAATATGGGAAGTGGGGGGGGGAGAGAAAAACCCAGAAAATATGGGAAAACGTGGGAATCTTTTTATTTGTGTGTATTTATTTGTGTGTCCTGGGGCCCCTTCACAAAGGGGGGGGAAGTGAGAGGGGGGCAGGCCTTCTCAGCAGGCGGCGCGGCTCCGGAGAAGCCTCGGGAGGTGCCTCGGAAGGCCGGAGGCCTCCCGAGCCTGCCCCCCCGGGGGGCGCGCCGGCGACGCCTCCGCGGGCGGTCCGCGCCCGCCGCGGCAGCCCTGGAGGCGCCCGCACGGGAGGCAGCGAGCTCGAGGGGGGAGGCATCGATCAGGAGGGGAAAAAACACACAGACACAATTAATCGGCGATTCCCAGAAAATATGGGAAAATATGGGAAGTGGGGGGGAAGACAAAAACCCAGAAAATATGGGAAAATATGTGGGATATTTTTATTTGTGTGTATTTATTTGTGTGTTCCAGTTCCCCTTCAATCGAGCTGGGATCGGCGATGCATCGCCGACAGATCGGCGACGGTCCACCCGAGAGCGAAGCCGCACGTGCCTGGGCGGGGTGGGCTACCGGGCCCCTGTCGGCGCCGAGCGCGCGAGGGGGAGTCGATGTGCTTCCCTCTCCTGGGGGGCCCAGAGGGCCCTGAGAGCCTGGCGCTGCAATTCTTTCACGCTGGGCGTTTTCGCCTGGACTCGGTCCTCGGGGCCCTCACGGATCGGTCCAGCTCGAGGAATGCCGCGGAGTGTTGGGGTAGCAGGTTCGGGTGATGGGTCTCCACGGTGTTGCAGCTGCTGTTCGCGAGCTCGGATCTCAGGGAGCGGGGAGGGCGGCGGCCGCCATGTCGACGCGCCGTGTTGGCGCGGCAGCGACCCCAGCTGAGCGCCGCCAGTGGCCTGGAATCGGCCAGCATCGAACGAGCTGCGCCGTCGGAAGGCCGCGACCGTTCGAGCTTGAAAGATCCACGCGGTGTCAGACACCAAAGCTGATGTCATCGCGACGGCATCCTGCAGCATCGTCCAAAAGTCTGGAAAAAGGGGGCCACGTTGCGTTGGAAGGGGCTCTAGGCTCATTGAGCCCGTCCCTGGCCTCTTCCACGAGTGGCCTCAAACAGTGAAGATTCAGCTTGGGATCCCTCTCCTATCCTCAATGTTGCATCCCTCAAGGCTCCATCTTTGAACCGCCGATCTGGTGCTCCTCGTGCACATATGTGCAAGCGAAGCCCAAGAGGGGCTCGGTTCCTTCTCTGAGTTCTCTCTGAGGTTCCTTACGGCAAGACTCTGACTCCCGCCCGAGGCGGTCTCTCGGCATCTGGTGCCGCCTCCGGCGGCGCACCGGGGCTGGGGCGTTCATTGAAGGAAATGGTTATTGAGGGAGATGTTTTTCGAATGAGAAATGCCATATAAGCATAATCGGAGTTCGGCGCGGATTTCTTGGATCGGCGCTTGACCCACCTGGCGCTCTCCGCGCGCCCGGGCGGGGGACCCGCGGATCTCCGAAAGTTTACGCTTCCTCAGTTTTTCTGGTTATGATCCCGAGGCTGTTCGCAGTTTTCGGCCTCCATGGGCCGTTCCTGGAATCCAGGACCGTCGAAGATCGATTCGGGATGAAACACCGGTCCAGGGGAAAGCCCGTGATCCGGGCCTCGTTTCCTTCAGGAGTCTTGACCTTCATGCCCAGGTTGGGGACGCCGAGACCACCTCAGGCTCAGAGGCGGCCTGAGCGCCCCCTGGCAAACCGACCCCTCCCGCTCACCCTCGAGGCGCCCCTCCTGCCACGCGCCCACATCGTTGAATGGAGGCCAGGAGCTCGTCACAGAAGGGGGAGGTCTGGCGGCGCCCGAAACATTGCGGTGGGGGCCCGTTGAGGGTAGCAGGGGCTGCCTCCAGAGGGCGTCCGTGCGTGGCCAAAAGCCCTGCCGACGAGGGCATGATGGAGGAGCACCGCGAGCGAATCCACGGCCACTGGCGCCGCGGCACTTGGGGATGATTCACAACGTGAACGGCCAAACAACTGCATCAACATAAACATGCATTGGCGGAGGGCCGAGCGGATGTCTTGAGTCGGCGCAGGTTCGAAACTTGCGCCGACTCGAGACATCCGCTCGGCCCTCCCCCCTCACCTCACCCCTTCAAGTGCGCTGGTGGGCGGCGCCAGAGGCGCCAGGGGTGCGGGGAGGGGGATCAAGCGACGACCCAAGAGATCCGTGTGGACCTCCAAAAGTTTACGTCAGCTTCGTGTTGTCTCCCAGTCATTAAGATAGTCCTCATCTTTCCAGCTTAGGTCGTCATACCTCTGCTTTTTGGCGATTCTCCATGCAGGCACGTTCCCTGGTTTCGGGGAGTGCGTCGTGCACGACGGCAAGGTGGTCTACCTGGATTTGTGTGGCTTTACCGATAAGGAACACACTGTCAAGCTCACTGAACGCACGTTGTACCGAGGTTACTCTATGATGAAGCCCATAACCGCCACGGCGTTCATGACGTTGGTGGAGGAGGGCTTGGCTCATTGGGACCAGCCCGTGTGGCGGTACCTGCCCAAGTTCCGAAATCTCCAGGTGATGAAGAAGAGCGGCAGCGGCGTGGAGCCTCTGAAAAAGCCCGTGACTCTGCGCCATCTCATGATGCACACGTCTGGGCTCGGTTACGGCGCCGCCCGGGCAGACTTGTCGTTGCCCATGGGCGCGGCGAGAACGCCGGCCGAAAAATTGTACAAGGACTTGGTGCGCAGGCAGGATAGTGGCGAGGTTGACACGCTGGAGAAGCTCTGCGACGCCCTCTGCGAGCTACCTCTGCTCTTCCAGCCCGGGGCGCGGTACGAGTACGGCATGGGCGTGGACGTGTTGGGGCGCGTCGTGGAGGTGATAGCGGGCATGCCCTTGAGGCAGGTCATCCGGGAGCGCGTCCTGGTGCCCACGGGCATGCGCGACGCCGCGTGGGACGTTCCGGCGTCCAAGGCCCGCCAGATCTGCGGCTACTACCGCATCCTCAAAAAGTCTGGCTCGTCGCAGCGCTACCTGGAGCGCCTGGACGGCTCTACACCCGCCGACAGCAGGTCGGTCCGGGGTTCGGCGGCGCACTACGGCGGGCGCTTGGGGAACCCAGCCGCTGGGGGCATCTGGGGCTCCTGCTTCTGTGCGCTGCACTTCTCCATGCTGGACGTGGCGCTCTTCTGCCAGATGCTGCTGAACGGCGGCGTCTCCGCGTCTGGGCAGAGGGTGCTGAGCGAGCCCACCGTGCGCCTGCTGGGGCGCAATTGGCTGCAGCAGAGGCGGTCTGCGGACTCGCCTTTCCCGCCCGGCTGGGGCACCGAGGACGTCGGGTGGTCCCCGCTGGGCAACGTCCAGCTGACGGGGCCTCACGCGGGCGCCATGTTTATGGGAGGCATTCGGGGGCGCCGACAGGGAGGGGGTGGCGGTGGTTGCCGATCGGGGCCCGGGTGCCCCAGCCTGCCCAGGAACGCGGTGTGCCCCCATCGAGGGGGCCCGTTTCCCTACATAATCGGCGATGCATCGTCGGTTCCAGTTCATTGTTCCCGTCCCTTCCGGCTCCCGCCAGGCATGAGCTACTATTGGATGGATCCCAGGCGCAAGATCTTCGCGGCGATGATGACGGAGACATATTGGCAGGTCAGCCCGCTCGGCTGGAAGGACAGCCTCGACACGATGGAGAAGGTGCTCGAGCGCGCAGTATCGGCCTCTGCGGCGGCGGGGTCACGCAAGCGGCCCGCAGGCGCCGGGGACGCCCCTCCGAAGAAGCGAATAGCCCGCCAGTGAGGAGCGGCGCGTGGGGCGCGTCGCCCTCGGATTCCCCCCTCGTCCTCGCCGTCGGTCCTGGAGCATCGAGGCTCTGGCCGGCACTCGACCACGCCGCAGTGTGCCAGGGGGCACTGTGGTGGATTCCTCGTCTCCGTCCAAATCCTGATCCTCCCCCTCGCCCCCTCATCCATCCTCCCTCATATTTTTCCATGTTCCGGCTTCTTCTTCCTATTATTATTCGCATTGTGAATCAGTAGTCGTATTGTTATTATTGTGATTGCGATTAGTAGTAGTAATCGTAATAGTAGTAGTAATAGTAATAGTAATAGTAATAGTAATAGTAATAGTAATCGTAATCGTAATCGTAATCGTAGTAGTAGTAGTAGTAGTAGTAGTAGTAGTAGTAGTAGTAGTAGTAGTAGTAGTAGTAGTAGTAGTAGTAGTAGTAGTAGTAGTAGTAGTAGTAGTAGTAGTAGTAGTAGTAGTAGTAGTAGTAGTAGTAGTAGTAGTAGTAGTAGTAGTAGTAGTAGTAGTAGTAGTAGTAGTAGTAGTAGTAGTAGTAGTAGTAGTAGTAGTAGTAGTCGTAGTAGTAGTAGTAGTAGAGTAGTAGTAGTAGTAGTAGAGTAGTAGTAGTAGTAGTAGTAGTAGTAGTAGTAGTAGTAGTAGTAGCAGTAGTAGTAGTAGTAGTAGTAGTAGTAGTACGAGTACTAGTACTAGTACTACTAGTTGTAGTAGTAGCAGTAGTAGTAGTAGTAGTAGTAGTTGTTGTTGTAGTAGTAGTAGTAGCAGTAGTAGCAGTAGCAGTAGCAGTAGCAGTAGTAGTGGCAGTAGCAGTAGTGTAGTAGTAGTAGTAGTAGTAGTAGTAGTAGTAGTAGTAGTAGTAGTAGTAGTAGTAGTAGTAGTAGTAGTAGTAGTAGTAGTACTCGTACTAGTACTAGTATAGTAGTAGCAGTAGCAGCAGCACTAGTAGTAGCACTAGTACTAGTAGTAGTAGTAGAAGTAGTAGTAGTAGTAGTAGTAGTAGTAGCAGCAGTAGCAGTAGCAGTAGCAGTAGCAGTAGTAGTAGTAGTAGTAGTAGCAGTAGTAGTAGTAGTAGTAGTAGTAGTAGTAGTAGTAGTAGCCGTCTTCTGATGTTTATGTGTATTCCTCGGTTTCGTTGTTTTCGGCTTGTTCTCCTTCTAACATTCCATCCCTCCCGATCGCCTAAGTGTCACCCCTTCGATTGTTCACCCTTGTTGATGATTCGCCATCCTCTGCTACTCTCCCTGCCCTGCAATTCTTCCATCTTCTCCATCCCCTCTTGTTATCCCCCCCACTCCGCCTCCCCTTCCATGTCCCTCCGCTTCCTCCTCAACCCCATTCCCCCTTCGTCCCCACACTCTTCCTCTTCCTCCTCCCCCCTCGTCTGGACGACGACGATTTGGAGGAGGACGAGGAGGCGGAGAGAGGAGGAAGCGGAGGACGACGACGACGACGACGACGACGATGGCGGCGACGACGACGACGGCAGCGACGGCAGCGAAGGATCGCCGCCGCCCGCGGCGCCAGCCGTCCCCCCTGCCGGGTTCGCGGACGCGGCGCCGGCGGGCACAGCGAGGCTGGACCCCAGCGGGGCCTTGTGGGGCTCTACGTGCCGCGGTTGCCCCTCGGCACCCCTCTTCGGTTGCTTTGGGCCTGCAGTCAAGACGCTGAAGCAACCTCCATCTCTTCTCATTGTGGAAAATTCACGGCGGCAGGTTTTTGAATTTTTCTGTTTCTGGGGGCCTTCCCCGGGCCCCCAGACACCCCCCAAAAAAATCGGGGGTGAAAAAACAGTCCCGGGAAGGAGCTTAGACCCCTGGGGGTCCATGATGTGAAATCACTACGTCGGGGACGTGGGAAGAACCACGTTCGGTTCAGGAGGGGTCTGGTCCATGGCCAGAAAAATCATCCTGGCGAAGGACCCAACCATACGTATGCAGTTGTGAGTATCGCCGTTGTGGGTATCGCCTTCGGTGGATCTCCTTATGGGGCCACGAAGCGTGTAAAGGGTGTGCCGAAATAGGGCGGGGACGCATGCGGGCGCAGCCGTTGGGGCCTTCGGTGGCGCTCCATATGGAGCCACGAAACGAAACGTGTGAGGGGTGTTCCAAAATGCAGCGGGGCCGCCATGCGAACGTCGCCACTGAGGCTTTCGGTGGAGCTCCGTACGGAGCCACGAAACGCGTGAGGGGTATGCCGAAGTTGGCGGGAGGGACGCATACGAACGTCGCCATTGGGGCCTCCGGTGGAGCTCCGCATGGGGCCACGAAACGCTGTACTGGGTGGCGCGGACGCATGTGGTCACACACCCATTGGGGCCTTTGATGAAACACCGTACTGGGTGGCGCGGGGCGAATGTGGTCACAGCCACTGGGGACTTCGGTGAAGCTCCCTATGGGGCCACGAAACGCCGTACTGGGTGGCGCAGGGTTGCGCGGGACGCATGTGGTTACAGTCATTGGAGTGGGGCCACGAAACGCGTCAGGGCTATACCGAACGTCGCTACTGGGGCCTCCGGTGGAGCTCCGCATAGGGCCACGAAACGCGTGAGTGGTGTGCCGAAATGGGCGGGGGGAGATGCATGTGATCGCAGGCTGTGGGGCCTTCGGTGGAGCTCCCTGTGGGGCCACGAAACGCCGTACTGAGTTGCGCGGGACGCATGTGATGACAGCCACTGGGGCCTTCGATGAAACACCGTACTGGGTGGCGCGGGACGCATGTGGTCACAGCCACTGGGGACTTCGGTTAAGCCTGGGGCCACGAAACGCCGTACTGGGTGGCGCAGGGTTGCGCGGGACGCATGTAGTCACAGTCACTGGAGTGGGGCCACGAAACGCGTCAGGGGCGGGAGCATGCGAACGTCGCTACTGGGGCCTCCGGTGGAGCTCCGCATGGGGCCACGAAACGCGTGAGGGGTGTGCCGAAATGGGCGGGGGGAGACGCATGTGGTCGCAGCCAGTGGGGCCTTCGGTGGAGCTCCCTATGGGGCCACGAAGCGCCGTAGTGGGTTGCGCGGGACGCATGTGATCACAGCCAGTGGGGCCTTCGATGAAACACCGTACTGGGTGGCGCGGGGCGAATGTGGTCGCAGCCACTGAGGAATTCGGTGAAGCTCCCTATGGGGCCACGAAACGCCGTACTGGGTGGCGCGGGGTTGCGCGGGACGCATCTGGTCACAGTCACTGGAGCCTTCGGTGGAGCTCCCTATGGGGCGGCGAAATGCTGTACTGTGTGGCGCGGGACGCATGTGGTCACAGCCACGGGGGCTTTCGGCGGAGCTCCCTGTGGGACCACGAAACGCTGTACTGGGTTTGGAGGGGGCACAGGCAGGGATGGTAGGATAGGAAGGAGGGGCAAAGAGGAGAAGAAGGAGGAGGAGAAACACGCGGCGCTGCCTCTTCGAAACGAGGACCTAACACCACAGGATGGTTTAGAATAACGCGTAGTTCGTCCTTTAGCATTCCTCATGGTAGCGTTTCTCAAGCATTCGAAGAACAAACAGCGGCACAAACACACGTTTTCGGTGGTGTTGGACCCCCTGCAGGCGGCCATGGGGCGCCAGGACGAAGATCGAAGAAGAGAAATCGCATTGGCAGAAACTTTCGGAGGCCCTCACGGAGTTCTTGGGTCATTGTTGGCCGTCCCCTAGCAGCAGCCTTGGGGTGCTCCGCGTGCAGGGGAAGGGGATCCGGCTCCGATCCATCGTCGACATCCGAAAGTTTGTGCTTACGCGGTGTTCTCTTCTATTCTCCAGCTTCGGGCTTGATTCGCTGGCGTTCGCCACATGCTGGCCGACCGCCTCGGACCGTGTTTGAGGACCCCGGCCAAAATCTGCGTGGGGGGTCATTTTTTGAGGGAGGAGGCCGAGTCTAGCCGTCTCGCCTGAGCCTTCGTCACGATTTATAAGTTTTGAAGTTCGGAATTTGCAGGACAGCTATAAGGACGGAGGGCATGTCGTTTTCAAGATGGAGTCTCGCCTGAGTGCCGCGCTCATTCGTTCTAGAAACTTGAAGCGGCGACCAGGATAAAGAACGGCTCTGTTTCAGAGTAGAGTTATCGTTTGAGAGTTCTCTTTTAAATCTTAGCCAGCGTGGGCCCGAAGCAGTAAATTGTTGCACTGAGGGTGGGAAAGCTACGTGTCATAAGCCATGTGGTGCAGTATACATGGTGCAGCACACGAGGCGGCAACGGGTGGCAACGTTGCGAAACATCACTGGAACCACCCAGCGCACGAGGCGACCACAGGCGGTAACGTGGCGAAACCTCGCCAGGCCCGTCCAAATTCCGTGGTAAGACAAGTACGAATATTGTAAGGGCAAGTACTGTTTGAGAATGTAGGTTGTTGCATTGTGGATGCGTAGGCTATGTCGTGCAAGCTATGTGGTCTAAGCTATGTGTTGCAAGCTACGTGATACAAGCCACGTGGTGCAAGGGATGTGGTGAATGACAGGCACATCGTGTGATGGTTCGAAAGCCGGGCAAGGGCTGCTAAATCCGTGGCTGCTAAAATCGACTTCCGGGAAGTTGTCTTCGTCTTTCCGGGAAGAAGCCCGTTGACTGTTTCACGTGCCGCGCCTCATTCCGGGAAGTTGTTTTTTCTTTCCGGGAGGGCCGTTTTAGCAGCCACGGTTTTAGCAGCCCTCGCCCAGTTTTCGAATTGTATGTCGTGGTGACTCCTTGTAATGAGAACAAAAGCTGTAGAGACTTATGAAGAGGGTACTCGGGACGGGAGGGTGTATTGCAGCACCGTTGATGCATATTGGATGTTTTATGGTCATACATCCTCGTCCTCATCTTCCCTCCCACCCTCCCCCTCACACTCCTCCTGTCCCTCCCTCCGCCTCCCCCAGCAGTCCCCTCCCTCCTCAGCTCGTCCCTCGCCCCCCCCCTCCCCCTCTCGACCTCTCGAAAAGCGTGCGGAAAGCAGAGCAGGGCAAGAGTGAAGCGCCGAAGACTCGTGGAGGCTCCCGACCTCTGCACCGATCCTGGCAAGGCCCATCCTTGACCCAGGATCGGTGCATATGCCTTCCTGGCCAAGGTAGGAGGGCGTATGCACCGATCCTGGGCTCAGGATGGGCCTGGCCAGAATCGGTGCATGTGCATAGTTCTCTTTCCTCGAAGAGCCCCCATCGCTCCTCCCCCATCGAGGAGGTTTCGCGGCCACTCCGGCACTCGAGCCGGCGGCCCGAACCGCGCAGCAGGGCCTGCAGCGGCGGGGCCCCCTCCCCCTGGCGGCCGCCATGGGCCTCCACGAGGGCGGTGGCGCGGCGCGCGGCGCCGTCGTGGTGGTGGACGGCCCCTCGCCGCCGCAGGGCCGCCTCTTCGACCTGACCGTCGAGGAGGAGGAGGAGGAGGAGGAGGACCTCCTCGAAGAAGAAAGATGGCACAAGCAGAGACGTTCGCAGGTCCTCGCAGATCTCTTGAATCGGCGTTGGGCCCCCACTGGCGCGCTCCGCGCGCCAGGGAGGGGGTCCAGTGTGATCCGAGAATCCAGCGCGGACCTCCGTAAGATTGTGTTTACGTCGTTGCTCGTTCCTCGCCCTCCTCTTTCCCAATACCACCAATTCCTCCACGGAGGATTTTGTGTTGTTGATTGAGTGCCACTGTTCGGGAGTTGCTCGCGCGTGGTCCCAGCCAACCCTCCCCTTCCGCTCCGCCCCACCACCCCCTTGGGATCCGATGTCGCAGAACAGATCTGCATCATGGACTGGGGCCCCAGACTCCCGCAGCTCTCCAGCCGGATGGATCACGGAGGGTCCTGGGGCCCGAAATTGGGCGCCCAGCGTGCAAAAATTGCGACGTTTGTGCCTCAGGCTCGGGTTCGGGGGTAAAAGTGACCCCCGGCCCCGTCGTAGGTTAGGTCCTGACCAGAATCGCTCGGGTCTCAGTCTCGGGGTCGGGGGCAAGAGTGACCCCTGGACCCATCGTGGGGCCATAGATACAAAAAAACAGCGAGCCTCGCAGCTTGATCTCAAATCCTCAGGAGGATGAGGAGGAGGAGGACAAGGAGGAGGACGAGGATGCGCAGCACAAGTCAACCTTGCCTACCCCTCGCTCTGTGAAAGTAGATATGCTTAGCTGCCTGGATTCCAATATACTCGAGGCGCGTTCCTGTTTCAAGAGCCTGATGGTTTTCCCTCTCCCTTCCGTGTCAGGGGACGGACAGAAGCGCAAACACGGATTGAGGCGCGTGGATTGGCGACGCGTCCCGCTTCCATCATTGCAGGACCGGCTCTCACCGTCTTCAAATCAGGCGGCAATTTTTCCAAAGCGCCAGATCCACGGATCCGTAATCCGTGCTCTGCCGAACGATTGCCACTTGGCCTCGCTCGGACGTGCGCATTTTTTCTCGGCGAGAACCACCGAGGACCATCCTGGACCATCGAGCAGAGCAAACACGCACGAAGCCGAGACATGCACGGGAAATGGACCTCCTCCTCCTCCTCCTCCTCCTCCTCCTCCTCCTCCTCCTCCTCCTCCTCCTCCTCCTCCTCCTCCTCCTCCTCGTCCGAGCGACGGCAAGGTCAGGGTCACCCTCGCCCGTGGCCCCCCGGAGGCCGCCCCCGCGCGGGGGCGCCTCGCCGACCGCGGGGGCCCCGCCGCGGGCCGCCGGGAGAGCGGCCGGCTGTCCGCCGCGAGCAGCTTCGTGGAGCTCGCGAGGCACATCCGGGCCGCGATGGGGCGCCAGGACGGCCCTGGGCATCGCTCGGGCGTGTGCATTCCTGGAGGAGGAGGAGGAGGAGGAGGAGGAAGAGGAGGATGCAGGAGGCAGGAGGTAGGAGGCAGGAGGCAGGAGGCAGGAGGCAGGAGGCAGGTTCTTCGCGGGGATTATGAAGGAGCATCCTGGATCCCCCTGCGAAGAAGCCGCGCACGAGACCGACAAAGAGCACAGGGAAGGGACGTCCCCGAGCGACGGGCAGCGGCAGGCCGCCCAAGGGTCGAGTGCGTCCGAGAGGGTGGTGAGGACCAGGGGCGGGCCACGAGATCACCCGGGTGTCATTCAGGAGGAGAAAAAACACACAGACACAATTATTCGTCGAATCCCAGAAAATATGCGAAAATATGGGAAGTGGGGGGGAAGACAGAAACCCAGAAAATATTGGGAATCTTTTTATTTGTGTGTATTTATTTGTGTGTCCCAGGGCCCCTTCAGTCATGTGCCCCTCTTTTTTTCAGTGCGTTCCTTGGAACCCCCTCATCCGCACACGGGCTTCGGGCCATGATGCGCGAAGCCCATCTTCCTGGCCACCCCGGAGGGGGCACCCGAAAATACGGTCGAAGTTTTGCTAGTTTTTGCTCGTCTTTGTTGGGCCTCCTGGAGGCTTCAAGTCGCAACGGCTGCATCCGTTTTGAAAAACGGGCCAGGATGATCCAGGAGGGATCCGGGGGTCGGTCTTGAGCGGATTTGCGCCAGGCGGGAAGGCCGCGGTTGTCTCAATTGGCCCTCCTCCGAGTTTCATCCCGACCGCCCAAATGGAGTCGAAGTATATGGGGTCGGAGGGTGGCGCCGCATCACCGATGCGTCGCCGATGTCGCCGATGCATCCACGATTCGGCGCGATCCGACGCCATCTACTTCGATCAGATGTGGGCGGCCTCCAATGACGAGGACCGAAGAAGAGGCATTGGCGCAAGCATGTATTTTCAGAAGTGCGGGCAGACTTCTTGGGTCGGCGCTGGTCCCCGCTGGCGGCGCCCCTGGCGCCGGCCCTCGAAGCCGCGTGGACCTCCGAAAGCTTATGCTCTCGCCGGCTCTCATTCTGGAGGAGGTTGACCGCGGGGCGCGCTGCAACGGCGAGCTGCTGGAGAAGGGGCGGCCCGTGCGCGAGCTCGCGCTGCCGGGCCCCCAGACCGGGGGCCAGAGGTGCGGCCAGCCAGACCTCTCGATTCAGCTCAGACGAGGCCCCTCCCCGTGCACCCGCGCCCCCCGCCTCAGGGGCGAATGGCCGCCAGGGCCGCCAGGGGCCCCGTGGCGGCGCACAGATGGACCCGCGCCGCCGGGGCCCACGGGCAGGAGGGCCGGTTCCGAGGAGCGCTCGCGGTCGCGGTCGCGCGCTCGGAGCAGCGCTGGCGCGCCCCCGGGCGACGTGCATGGCGGGCTGCCGTCGCGCGTCGGACCGCCGGCGCGCGAGGGCATGTCGGCGGACGCGGCGCGGGGGCAGCTGGGCCGCTTTCGGCAGGTGAGGCTGTGCGAGAGGCGGGACCGGGAGCCCAGGGGCAACGACACGGGGGAGTTGGTCCAGGGGAGCGGGTGTCATCGATTCCCAATCGCCCACTCACCGCCACTCGGGGGCAGAGCACCTCACCCCGCGCATAAACTTGCGGTTCAGTTTGGCTACCAAAGGCGTGTCGCCGATTTGTCGGCGATGCATCGCCGACTCGAAGTCAATGCTCCCCCCCCCCCTGAGCCAGTTCCCTTCCCCAGCGTCCCCCCTCAGGAGAAGGTCTTGCAGCTCTTCCAGACCCACGGCTGGCCGCTCCCGGAGGACGTGAACTCGCGGTGCTGCATCGAGGAGCTCCTCGGGCTCGGCAAAGGCAGCGCCAGGCTCACCACCCACCTCGCCTGGCTCTCCGACGCCGAAGGCGCCGAGGGCCACGCGGGCTGCGCGGCGGCCGCCATCCTGAGCGTGTACAGATACAGGGACGAGCGGCGGCGTGCGGGCTGCCTCGAGTTCATCGTGTCCTCGCGCCGCGGCCTGGGTGGCGCGCTGGTCGGGCACGCGGCGTCCTTCCTGCGGGCGCAGGGCGTGTCGCGCCTCTACTCCGGGGTGGACCTGTCGCGCGAGGGCGCGCTCCCGGCGCACGTGCGGTGGGGCTTCCGTGACGTCGGGGAGGATCGGGGCTGGACAGAACCCCCAACAGTGACACGTCGATTGGTGAATTGTCCGTTTTCGGTTCTCGAGAGGGCGCCGTGGTCGTTATTTTCCAGGTTTGCGCCCTCCAGGTTTGGGCCTCAGGTCGTTTTCACTAAACCACGTTTTGCTAAAGGGGGGTCTGTCCATCCCCGAGAGGAGATGTGGACCCAGGCCTCTCTCAAGCTCTATTCTGCCGGGAGCGTGCGATACATGATGCTGGACCTCTCCGGCGCGGGCGATGCCGGGGAGGTGCCGCGCGAGCGCGAGTGCGAGCGCGCGGCGCACGCGGAGTGTTCTTTGGCCGCCTCGACGCGGTCGTCGCGCACGCCGCGGAGGGCAGGCCATGGGGCCTTCGGGAATCGCGCCTCCAGGCCGCGACGGGGGACCGCCCCGACGCTGCTCGCGAGGGCTGGCGGGCTGCCGGCGACGGTGCCCTTCCGGTCCAGGCGCTGCCTCCGGGCGGCAGGGCCTGCCTGAGCCCGCGGCCGCCCGTGCCCGGGCCCGCTTCTGTGCCGCGGCCTCCGCAGTTCTAGGCCTCCTAGATGGGGTCCGAGTAGATGGGGTCGGAGGATCGCGCCGCATCGCGGATGCATCGGCGATGCATCGGCGATGCGGCTCGATGCGGGGCCCAATTTTCTCCACGCCGACGTCGCGGATGTATCGCCGACGTCGCCAGTGCATGGCCGATGCATCGGCGATGCATCGCCGAGGCATCGCCGATGTATCGGCGATGCGGCGAGATCCTCCGACCCCATCTACTCGGATCCCATCTAGGAGGCCTTTAGCAGTGAGCCCGCCGTGGCCCCGCGATCTCGACCGCGCCTTGCTGGGCTCCGCGGGGCTGGCGCCTGCAAGCCGACGGAGGGAGGGCGCGCCGCGCCACGCACGGGCCGAGCAAGAAGAGGATTCGGGGAGTGTTCCAGCACCCCGGGGCTGGTGTACACCTCAAGCAGGGACCCCCGCTGGCTCGGCCCCCGTCTCCTCAAAGCCTGGGGCGCGGGGGGAGGGAAGGGCGAAGGCAGCGGCGGGGAGATGCAAGCAAATTCCTGTCCACTTCGCGTCAAGATGATTCTGAGTACATTGAGTTGGTCGTCGCTCCCAGGGCTCCACCGCTATCTCCTCCATCCCCCTTCTCCAACACCACCACCTCCATACCTAGAGGCGCAGAGGTTGTTGTTGATCGAGTGTCGCTGTCAGGAGTTGCTTGCACGTTGTCGAATCACGTCCAACCAGGTCCTTCCTCTCCGCCCCGCCCCCCCTTCAGATCCGACGTCGCGAGAACAAAACAAAACGACATCATGGCATGGTGAATCACGGGTTAGAGCCCTCGACCGCATGTCTTTGCGGCCTTTCTCGAGCCGCATCGATCTGGGAGGCTTTCGGGGCCCGGAAATGGGCGGAATCGCCCAGGGTGGAAAATTGCGGGCCTCAGGCTCGGCGGTGAAAAATCAGCCCTCCAGACCCATCGCAGGGTGCGTTCTGACCAGAATTTCGAGGCAAATTCCGCCATGGCGACGAGGAGCCCCCACACAGCGCAGCAAAACGATCGAAAACACCGAAAAGCCTAGAACCTCGAAGTCTGATCCTGGAACCTCGGAGTTCAGACCCTTCTTCGCCCCTGGCGCCGCCAGGCCGCCTGGCGCGGGCGAGCCGCCCCGCCAGGCCGCCCGCGTGGCCGCGGCGCCAGCGCTGGGCGCAGGCGAGCGACGCCGCCGCAGTTGACAACGCCAGCGACGTCGACGACGTCGAGCCCGACGCACGCCGCCGCAGTTGACAACGCCAGCGACGTCGACGACGTCGAGCCCGACGCCCGGCCACGCCGACGACGACGCCGCCGAACCCGACCGACGACCAGCGCGTCGCCCGACGCCGACGACGCAGCCCAACTCCGGCAGCGGCGGCGTCGAAGGCGAGGAGGAGGAAGAGGAGGAGGAGGAGGAGGAAAAGGAGGGGACGCAGCGATTCGTCGCAATTATGGTTGGAGCTTTTCAGATTTGGGCACCTTTCCAGCGGAAGCCTGGAAAGCAGCGGTGCGCAAGTATACAGTCTAGCGCACGCTCGTGCCATTGCGCATGCGCCTACGGACACGCGGCTTCATTCATTCACTCGCCGGATTTGCCGGACTTCCCGGACGTCGCCTCAAACAGAACAGCGGGGCCTCTAAGGGCCTCCTTGGGGAGGCTGCTGAAGATGTCCCACGCGGGGGCGCTGGTTTGGAATTCGTCGCCGGATTCACCAGATCCGCCAGATTCGCCGGATTTCCCGGACGTCGCTTGAAACGGAACAGGGGTGTCTCTGGGGTTTTGGGGCGGTTGTTCTGAGGATGTCCCACGCGGGGGCGCCGGTCAAAGTTCGTCGCCGGATTTCCTGGACGTCGCCTGAAACGGAGCAGGGGAGGGCGGTCGGCGGGGCAATTGCCTGGCGCGCCGGGGGTCAGGATGACGTGAGTTCCACAGAATCTCTTTCAAATCAGAATCCCCGTTCACGGGACCTTGGTCAGGGCCGAGGGCCTCGGGTCGGGCCGCCCTCAACCGCGTGGGTTCGGTTCCGCCACCCAGCCTCTCGGTGTTCTTTTTCGCGGCGGGGTTGCCCGGCTCGAGCCGCGGCCTGGGCTGGAGCGGCCGCGCAGACGCGAAGGAGGAGGGAGTTGCAGTTATGCCTCAGCAGCAGAGGGGTAATGTCCATTTGCGGTGAACAGATGAGGCCCCCCTGCTTCCGATGACTGGTGAATAGACCCCGCGGGGCTCGAAACTATGTTTGAATCACGCGTGCCGAGCTAGTCGCGGGCACCGACGAGGGGAGCGCGTAGCCCCTACACGGCAGCATCAAAACGACTGAATTCCATATCGAGGTTTACCATAAGGATGTATATGTCCGAGGCGATGGTTTCCCCGTATGAGGCTAGTTATTGTGGTGCTCACAATCGTCGTCGCAGTCGTTTACGGCGGCCTTGCGCAGCATCCCTCCCCAATGGATATCTGTGGCGTGTGGTCGTCCGTCGTCGCCGTTGCCGTCGTCAATTGCAGCGGGCATACGCAGCCACCCCCACCCACCCCTCCTGGGGCATCTGCACCGCGACGTCGTCTCCGTCCTCGGTCGGTCGGTCGTCGTTGTCGTTTCGTCGTCGTCGCCGTCGTCGTCCACGACAGTCTGCGGCGGCCCTGCACAGCCCCCGCCCCGCCATAGGGCATCTGCAGCAAGTCGTGGTCGTCGTCCGTCGGCGGCGTTGTCGTCGTCGCCGTTGCCACGCCCACAGTCACATAGCACATTGCGGGCGCCCACGAGGTGAACGCTAATACTCGTACACGTTTGCATCAAAACGGTTAGTCGTGCATATAGAGCTCGTCGATGGACCATATCCACGTGATGCGAAGATCTTCACCGCCACATCAGGCCATTGCGGTGTTCACATGTATATTGTGGTAGAGGGAGGGGGGAGGAGAAAGATGAGCCCTTGCCGCTAACGTCTGCCGCTCCTCCGTCCTGCATTTCTTGTATGCAGCCATGCTGGCCCCCACCCACCCGCTGCAAAAGGAGTCGCTGGCGTTGCGCCAGTCGGCCTCTGTTTGGCAACCGAATACTGGTTCTAATCACAAGCGCGGCCGCAATGGCGCCCTCTGAAACCAGAGCCCCGCCAGCGCCACAGAATGCTCGAGAACGGAACATACGTGTTAAATCACATGCCCAGCGTGTGTTAGTCACAGGTTGGCTTCACGAAACCTCAGACTACAGGCCCTCTGTCGCCTGCTCTCTGTCGCCTGCTGGTCCCAGGTTCGGCAGGGCCCCAGCCACGGGCAGGACGAAACGGCCCCAAAGAAGCGGAGGAGGAAGAGCGACATTTTTGTTGAGTGGCAGTGGGAGGGTACGGTGGCTCGGTTTGTTTGTCCTATGTCTCTTGCCAATCGCGCGCTTGACCCCCCACTTCTCGCGATCACTCTTTGTTGTGTCTTTTCAGTGTCCGGGGGAAAGGACAAGGACGAGGAGGAAGAGCGCGTGGCCCTGGCCGCCGCGTTCGCGGGCTGAGTCGGCCCTGGGACGTATTGCAGTTGGTCTCCCGGAGGGCCTCAGTGGTGATGAGGGCGGAGCGCGAACCATTCGACGAGGAGTAGGAGGAGGAGGAGGAGGAGGAGGACGACGACGACGACGACCAATGCAAACCCAAGATTGATCGACGATGTTGAATCAACCCTCCCTCCAAGCTCCCTCTTCATAGGCCCCACAAGGGCTCATTTCCACTGAGGGAACTGCCTCGCTGGGAGACAACCGCTTGAAGACCACGGAGAGTGCCAGAGTACCACTATCGGGACTCCAACGCTACGAACCAACATGATTGTTGCGCCTTGACGATCCAGAACCGTGCCAGAGCATTATTCCTGGGACTGCAGCGCCGCGAATCAGCGTAGCTGTTGCGCCCTCACAATCCTGAGTCGTTCTAAAACAATGTCTGGCACGTCGACCATGGGAATCCACGAAACTCTTGCAAATGTTTACGGCGAGCGTGCGCGGCGCCAAGGCGAGAGCCGCATTGTGAAAAGGAACAGCCCTCCATCCGTTAAGCTCTTGCAAGTGTTTAAAGCGAACGTGTGCGACGCTAAGACGAGAGCCACATTTTGAAAACCGTCCGCAATCAAGATGTGAAATTCTTGCAAACATTTAAAACGAATGTGCGCGGAGCAAAGGCGAGAGCCACATTTTGAAAACGGCCAGCCCTCAATCCGTGAAATTGTTGCACATGGTCAAAACGAATATGCGCGGCGCTAAGGCGAGTGCCACATATTGAAAACGGCCCACGCTCAATCAGTGAAACTTGTGCAAATGTGTAAAACAGATGCGCGCGGTGCTAAGGCGAGAACCACGTTTTGAAAGCGACCCGCCCTCCATGTGTGAAACTGAAAGCGACCCGCCTCCATGTGTGACCACGCTTCAGGGTCATAAAAATGGTGTGGAAGTCTCAGGCGAAACGCCCAGCCCGCCCTTTCGACCAGCCTCGGGGCGCAACGGAGAGGAGCACTTGTAAGGAAAAGGAATGGAGAAGGAATGGAGAAGGAGGAGGAGAAGGAGGAGCAGGAGGAGGAGCAGGAGGAGGAGGAGGAGGAGGAGGAGGAGGAGGGCGGCGACGACGACGACCACAGCGACAGCGACGGCGAGGCGCCGCCCTCGCCAGCCGCGCGGCGGCGGCCGCGCCGCCTGCGGCGGGGTGCTCCGCGGGCGAGGCCGGGCGGGGGCCGGGCTCCGCCTCCAGCTTTTTCGGAGGAGGGCCGTCGAGGCAGCGCCGTGTTCTCGATCGGTTTTCCTCCGAAGCGCTCGGAGGTGGATAGACCTCCTATCGGCAACACCCCAACATACTTGTACTATATGTGCGTCGCCCCCCCAGGGGCGACGCGCGCACCGAGAAATCTTATAGTATATGCGTCGTGGCGTGCACTTTCTGGCCACACCGCTCGGGAAACGATATACTACAAGATGGGTATATTACATATTCGGGTCGGACGCGCGCCTCCAAGGAGGACACATAGTATTAGTATGTCTCTGTGCGTCCCATCCTACCTTGACACGTCGATTAAGGAACTGGCCGTTTTCGGTTCGCGAGAGGGCGTCGCGGCCGTCGTTTTTGCGGGTCCGGGTCCGTCGGTTTCGGCCCCAGGCCGTTTTCACTAGGGGGACGTTTACTAAGGGGAGGTTTGCCCACCGCCGAAGCACGGTGTTCGCGCCTTCAGTGGCGCACTCGCGGCCACGGCGGGATTCCCGTCGAAATCTGGGCGAAAACGCACCCCAAGACAGGTCCGCAGTGGGGCGGGGGATTGCTCTTTTCGCAGATCCGAGTTGCAGGTTCGCGCCGCGTCGTCGCGGCAGCAACCCCAGCGCT